TCCTATCAGAAATGGGCAAAACTGAAAGGAAAAGGAAAAAGTAAAGAAAACAACCGTTCTGGACGAGCTAGCACACTTACTCCTACACATGTAGATGTAGCAGAGCACTCTGCAAGTCCACCCTTTCTTTAGTGGAACTCTGCAAGTCTACATGCACATTGTAGGCCAAATTATTCGCCTCGTTTGTCCAGACGGGCCGGTGGAAACTTTGATGACCCACGGACTTCGCGCAGACGTACTGTGCCAACAGCCCACACGGCACACGACGCCGTACGAAGCTCGCCAACCTTGAGGCCCATTCGAAGTACCGGATCTCCCCCCTGAATTCTGCATTTTTCTTCTTCTCAGAAAAATGGAACTGATTCTTACCAAAATTTTGTATGATTCATAAGAAATTTATGTGCTTCAAATGGGACCTTGTTTCCGTAGGAAGCATCCATAGAAGCAAACTAGCAAATTTATGTGTGGGCATGTTTTAATCATTAGGCAGCAGGGATTATTTGGTGAAATCCTGAGAGCATTACAAGAGCCTCTCTACATGACTCATTATCACAAAAATTAGAAAGCAAACAGAAAAAGCATGCTGCAATAGAATCGGTAAACCATTCTCTATATTTTATGCAAAATCACCTTTCTCGCTCTCCACCTACATGACTCTAAATGTAATATATAATAGTTTTCTTATGATTTTTTTCACATAAGGAAAATTATGATAAGCTATTGGAGTATTTTGAACAAAAATTAGAGAGCCTGTTGGAAACATGAGAGATATACAAAGAGAATACTCATTGAATGACTCTTCAAATAGGGATATAGAGATTGAAATTTGTAGACTCTTGGAGTTGTTCTGTGGCAAAAAAAACTAAGCTCGAGAGTAGCCTAAAATGATGATGCTTTTATTGGTATTAAGAACTTTGTTGGAAAGACGTAGGATAAATACTCCTTTTAGTCTTGTGATATAATTATGAAAAATTCAAGTAAAGACGTAGGAAAAAGCTATGCAAATAATTATGGTATTAAGAAATTTGTTATTTTTTTAATATAGATAAATTTGTTATGATTTGGTTCACCTTCCCTACTCGACGTCCACCATTTCTCCTTCCTCTAAAGAAGCCAACTAATATATTTTTTGTTGGCATTACTTATAAATCGGGAAAATCATCGTGATAGTAGAAATTTTTGGACCTAACCTACAATCAAATGCTAGTTTTTTTCCAAATCAGAAGCTAAATCAAGAAAGCTTGTTTGCTTAACCTAAGCTATACTAATGATCGCAACGGGTATGCCACCCTCTCTTGGTATTGATCTGACTTCCGCGCCTAGGTTCGGGGTGGGGGTGGGGGTAACAGTACCATGTAGTCGGTGGATGCACAAAGGATAGGTCATAGGTGTGTGGCTTCATAAAATCTACAACCTTGCAACACCATATAAACCTCCATAGATCTGCAGCCTTCCATAAAATCTGCAGATCTTGTCCAAGGTCTCATCCTTCTTTTGGGAAAGGGAAATGAAAGCAAAAATATGTGCTGCAGTTTCAGGTTTTTGTTCACAAAATGGGAAACTTGCGATCTTGTTTGTTGTTACAATTTTGCATTGTACCAATAACCATGCAAGGAGCAAGGAGTTTGTGTTTGCCTTCCACATGGTCCTGTCAGATGGCCAAGATTGTTTTGCTATTGAACGGATCAAAGGATCCTTTCAAACTTTTCGTGTATAATCCATCTCTTGTCTAATTGCAATTGGTCTTATCTAGCCTATCCATAGGTTGTACACTATGCACTTCATCCCATTACGCCACACAGCTATTATTGATCTTGCCTAATGTTTTCATTTTGCATCCCATAACGCCACACAATTATTACCAATACTGATCTTGTCTAACATTTTCATTTTGTAGGTTGAAAGAAACAACAAAGAGCTCTTAGCTGAAGCGAGTGCTGGACTCAATGATACGCTAGCTCTGAAAGGATCTATGGAGCGGGCGCTTGAGGGCCTATCTCAAGCCGCTAAAGCTGCGGCAAGGGAGAGGAAGATCGAGGGAGAGGAAGATCATAGTCAAAGAAAGAGGCTATCAATGATAAGAAAAAGAAGTCGGGAGGTTTATCGGCCAAGTGGAAGGATATTCAAACACCAAGAGACAGCTCTGCCTAGAGATTCGTTCAAGCCATCATGAAACTCATGAAGCAAGGTCAATTCTAGCAGCTTTTGATGCTGTTGCAGCTAGTATGTGTTTCCCATCGTAATTTTTTTGTCTTAATGTTTTGAGTAATTTCTCAATGGCATTCTTTCTTTTCACTCAAATGACATGGCATTCTGTTTTGATTAGGGGAAGGACAAGAGGTTGTGGTTGTCGCCGCAGGACCAGAGGGGAGGCTGCCGCTGAACCCTAGCTTGGATTGCTGGTGTTTTTTTTCATATAATTAGGTTTTGTGGTGGTACTCATCTATTATTCAATTATTATTAGTGTCTAAATCTATTTTTTAAATAGCATGCTTTTATTTAGATTCTCCATTATGCTCAGCTTAATTAGCATACCACGCCTCATGTAGACATTTCATATGATCTTATTAGTGTTTTGTCCACCTATGATGATGACCTGATTACGTCTCCATGTAAGGCATAAGTTGTATGCATCAAACGATTAATTGTGTCTATCTTTCTGTTGATAAATACCATAGAGTCTAATTTGCACAGTTGCTTATATGAGGGCTAAATTTGTTTCCTCCCTATGGTGGTCAGAACAACATTATATCAGCAGACAGGGATAACTACAGTTATCATATTTTTCGCATTTTATGATTTTTGCCGTTGACAAGGTGCTTTGTTATGCTATAATGTTATATGTGAACTGTGGTGGGCATATGTTTTGTCAACTTATAGTGTATTCATATTCATCATGTTATAACTAGTGTTTTATGTTGACTTGAAATTAGAATAGTTGTGTTCATGTCAATTGCCATTTTTTCGGCTGGAGTGTTGTTGGGTTGTAGTCCTTCACTTGTACCACACCGGGATGAAGGTGCTAAGGTACTTCACCAGGGTAAAGGGTAAGCTAAGGTACTAGTTCCACACAAGAAAAATAGAATGGGAGGAAATGAAATTAGGTTTTTGGAGAATGAGGGGAACCCTTTTGCCCTTGCGCCTTGGACTCTATTTATAGGGGAGGTGGGAGGACCAACCTTTCTCTCTACCCTTTTTGGTTTGCAAATTATACTGAGGTCCTTAGACCTCTTGGACCTTGGGCCTTTTAACGTGGAAGGGTGTAGGCGCAGCCGCCCTTACCCCCAACCCCAACAAGTGCTGGCATTGGATGTTCATGTTAATTGTTCATGTGTTCATTGTGGGCGTTGATCATCCATATCCCCTCATCCCCGCCTGCTCCAGTGGCCTGCAACGAGAGGCCCGCTGCCACGATGGCCTCTCCGGGGGCTTGCAACGAACGACCTACTGCCGCGATGTCCTCTCCGGTGGAGTGCAACCAATGGCCCGCTGCCGCGATGGCCATCTTGGTGCGGTCAAGGCTGGGCATGCATGATTGCAGTGCGACAGATTGCGCGCTGGTTGTAGCTCCGGTGGCCGCTGCGCCAATCCACGGTCCTCATGCACTGCGGGCTTGGACGAGTCCATCCATGTGCGCCGTACGTGAGCCGCGGGCCGCGAGGAAGAGCAGGAGGAGGGGCAGGCGAGCAGCGTGATCGAGAAGTAGAATTCGGCGTTGCTGTTTGAGTAGGAGGAAACATCTAGCGAGACTGGCAAACAGCTAGCGCGTGGAGAGGCTGTTCCAATGGTTCGGCCGCATGGTTGGCAGGTTGAGCGTGTGCGATTCAAGGTTTACTCTACCGATATTTTTTAAATCTAGGTGGTCACGGATAAACATAAATATATGATATATTGGAATTCTATCCGTGATAGAAAAAAATTAAACAAAAAGTAGCACATTTTGTTCAGGAAAACACATAGATCATTTCTAATGCATTTAACATAAAAAACTAAATAAAACCATATTATCAATTGCCCATTCAACGAGGAGGGCAGCGACGCGGCTGGAGCATGCAAGTGTGTTACGGTGGTGGCAACTTGAACCCTGAAGAGAAGAGGAGAGAAAATGAAACATTGATTAAGAATAGAGCATTGGGTGAGCTTTGTTGTCTATTTGGGCAGATAAATTTTAAAATTCTAAAAATTTCTGGTGATAGAGTAAAAATTTCGGGCCCAACCGATAACTGGGATATATTGAAAATTTCGGAATTTATTGTCATGGTTGCGATTCAGAAGGAAACACAGAAAGGGCAGGGCGGAAGGGGAGATTCTGTTGGTACGTGCCTCTGCGCGCATTTGATTCACCGTCCAGGTGTTACGCTTGGGACCGCTAATCCGTGGGCGGGCCGGGAGCTGGTCGGTGAGCGATCAAGGAAGCCCTTCACAACGACAGTGGGAGAGGGATAATATTTCAGGCACGTCCTGATCACGTTCAAATTCGGGAATGTGTGGAGAATTTGTGACCGCGTCCTGATGTCGTCCCCGATAGGTTCATCTGGGCGTACAGAGCTTTCTTCCAAGGGGGCGTCCTAGCTTGCCGTGGTCAGTTGAGAATTGTTGACACACACCTGTGTACGTACTTTGATCACTCGTACAGGCATGACTTTTTTTGGCCTGGATGGCGACCAAATACCGCTCCTAATCGGCTAATCCCTTTGAAATTCAACGCCCATGAGAGCGTAGAAGCCACCGTGTTGATGTTGAGAGTGACAACGATGGCCGCAGGACAATGTAAAGCCGAGTCGGAAACTGCTTCGGCTCTTCCAGGCAAATTCATTCACCCAATCATACCGGCACAAAGATGCCGTGCTCTGACCAGGTCCACATTACCGTCGTGTTAGAGCTAGCCGCCACGACGCCGAGCATGATCTCACCAGCTTATAAACGCGAACGTTCCAACGCCATTCTTGTATACTCCTGGTCTCCTGCAGCTTCTAGCTCGCTTTCCATCATTCCATTCCATGTCATCACCGACGCAAATGGCTTCGCTCGCCATTCTCGTTTCCCTCGTGTGCGCAGCGCTTGCCTCCGATGCCGCGGCCGTCCGCGTGGAGCTCACGCGCATCCACGCCGACCCCAGCTTGATCGCGTCCCAGTTCGTCCGCGACGCCCTGCGCCGCGACATGCACCGGCACAACGCCCGGCAGCTAGCTGCGTCGTCGTCCGACGGCACGGTGTCCGCGCCGACCCAGATCTCGCCCACCCCCGGGGAGTACCTGATGACGCTGGCCATCGGCACGCCACCGCTGTCCTACCAGGCCATCGCCGACACGGGCAGCGACCTCATCTGGACGCAGTGCGCGCCTTGCAGCTCCCAGTGCTTCCAGCAGCCGACGCCGCTGTACAACCCGTCCAGCTCCACCACGTTCGGCGTGCTCCCGTGCAACAGCTCGCTGAGCATGTGCGCGGCGGCGCTGGCCGGGACGACCCCGCCGCCGGGGTGCGCGTGCATGTACAACCAAACGTACGGCAGCGGGTGGACGTTTGTCTTCCAGGGGTCCGAGACGTTCACGTTCGGGTCGTCCACGCCGGCTAACCAGGCCCGCGTCCCGGGCATCGCCTTCGGATGCAGCAACGCGAGCGGCGGCTTCAACACCTCGTCGGCGTCCGGCCTCGTCGGGCTGGGCAGGGGGAGCCTGTCGCTCGTCTCCCAGCTCGGTGTCCCCAAGTTCTCCTACTGCCTCACGGCGTACCAGGACACCAACAGCACCAGCACGCTCCTCCTCGGGCCGTCGGCGTCGCTCAACGACACCGGCGTCAGCTCCACGCCTTTCGTCGCCGGCCCTTCCAGTGCGCCCATGAGCACCTACTACTATCTCAACCTCACCGGCATATCCCTCGGCACGACGGCACTGTCCATCCCGCCCAACGCCCTCTCGCTGAAGGCAGACGGCACCGGCGGCTTCATCATCGACTCTGGCACCACCATCACATTACTGGGAAACACGGCGTACCAGCAGGTCCGCGCCGCGGTCGTCTCCCTGGTGACGCTGGCCACGACAGACGGGTCGGCAGCCACGGGGCTCGACCTGTGCTTCGAGCTGCCGTCCTCAACGTCGTCGCCGCCGGCCATGCCGAGCATGACGCTCCACTTCGACGGCGCGGACATGGTGCTCCCGGCGGAGAGCTACATGATGTCGGACTCCGACTTGTGGTGCCTGGCCATGCAGAACCAGACCGACGGCGGGTTAAGCATTCTCGGCAACTACCAGCAGCAGAACATGCACATCCTCTACGACGTTGGGCAGGAGACATTGTCGTTTGCTCCGGCCAAGTGCAGCACGCTCTGATCAGAGCTTTACAGAACTGCAAACATGTGTGTGCATAGGTTTCATGATGATTTTCTTTTGAGTTTTGTTATATATGTAATAATGGGCCGTCAAGAAATCTGTTCCAATTTTTTTATGGAAATCCTATTCCAATGCAAATGCTGAAATTCGAACTAGACTACCACAAGCAATAGATACATATAGCATTGACTTGTCGGCTGGGCGCAGTGCTATTTCCCTTGTGACAGTCTAGTTGTGGTTTAGTTTGATATTTATTTTTTGTTTTAGGAAAAGGAATTTTTAGGGCGTTTACTAGAGTTGTGTTGTAAATAAAGCAGGAGATATTTTTTCCTTTGGGATCGATGTACTTCATTCTTCATTTTTTTCTTGTCAGGGTTTTATTCTTCATTTGAAATGCACTCTTCAGGAGCATATAAGCATCACAAATTCATTTTCAATACCTACAAGAAACAAAATTATTTATCTCTGCATGTCCTCTCTATTTATCTTCTAACGCAGTATCCATATAAATACTTTATAACCTCTATCCAATTTTTTTGTAATAAACTTATCACCTATTGTATATGTTATTTCATCCATGTCCATATTTTTCCTCTCTCTCTCTCTCTCTCTCTCTCTCTCTCTGCTGAGCACTTATGTGTGCCTCCTAGATGAATTTAGTTGATACCTTGTGTTCTGCAATTTTTTGTTCTCAAATCTAAATTCAAACTCTTGCGCATATTGTACTGTTTATCAAAACTCTCGTTTAAGGCCCCGTTTGGGACGGCTTTCGTCGGCTCCGGCTTAACTGACAAAATACTGTAGCAAAAAAGACGGTTTTCTCTCCTACTTTTTCGCCTGTCACTGTAGCGCGTGCACTGTAGCACGCGGGGGAAAAGCCAGAAACCGTCTTCGATGAACAGTGCCGATGTCAGTGAGAGGGGAGGGAGGAGAGAGAAAGCCAGCTTCGCGCTACAGTGTTGCTACAGTGTCGCGGTCAGAAAAGCCGGAGCCGGCGGAAGCCGTCCCAAACGGGGCCTAAGAATGCACCACAATGCTCAAGATAGCATATAGTTTAAAGTGAGATCTAAAACTGGGCCTAGGTCTTATAATTATGAGAATATTATAATTAAGACAAATCTCAAAAACTTGGGAGATCATAGTCAATTTTGGTGTGCACTAACCTCCTTCGTGGCTCAAGATATTGAATTGTCTTATCAAGAATTACATGTGTAGTGGTACTTTTTATAAAATAAAATAGTATAACAATACCATCAATATAAATGTCATAATGTTTTAGTTGAAATATAAAATTGTATCTAAAGTAATACCTGTGTAATGACCCAAAAAAATCCAATCTTATTAAACTTTTTGTTAAATCCTTGTAAAACATGCCTACCTTAGGTCAGCCTGAGAAGCCCAAGCCCAGGTGTGGAGCTTGGTTGAGGCCAAGATGGACCATGGCCCTCCTTACTCAACTTAATCTCCATTAAGTAAATAATAGTTTCGGTACTGTTTATCAGGGGTGTTTAGAGCTCAGTTACATGGACTAGCCCGTCCTATTAATTCGGTCAAACTCCAACACTGCTGAGCTCGTGACATGAGCCTAACCAACATATCACCATCCTTGGATGTCTTGTCATAACCTTTTCTCTAAAACCCTCTTGCATCATCCCTCTCGATAAGATGTTCCTCGGCGGCGTTCTCTACAACAGTGGCATGAACATTGTAAATCCACATCAATGCACCTTCTTATCTTGAGTAGTGCCCATTCAAACATATTCCCTTCTCTATATAAAGTAAACTTCGATAACCTTCACCCTAAGCAAAACTATGATAATCTAATTCTTGCTTGTTCCTCAACAAGTTGGCGCCTCTCCATTTCGAGGTACGCTTGTTGATCCATGAGGCGTTTGAACTGTCCACGGAGGTACTCGTGGTACTCTTGAGGGCCCTCCAGTCATTGTGGGGGTGTCCGCCATGTATCACTCCTGAGACGGCTGGTAGCTTCTCATGCTTTCATTATCTTAGGCGGAACTACAGGTGGAGTAGCCGAAGAAATTGCCAAGGATCCGGAAGTGGGTAAGATCAGCGATGTTGAACTCGGTGATGTCATCCGCCATTAGGCTAATCATGCCAACAAACATGGAGTGGAAGTCAGGGACAAGTGTAGATGCATCTTATGGAGAAGCTCATCTTGGATGGTGCGGGGCCATGTTCCCGAGCCCGACGGGGTACTCTTGAGGCCCCTCCAGTCGTTGTGGGGTGTCCCGTGTCCGCCATGTAGCACTCCTGAGATGGTTTACTTGTCATGCTTTCATTATCGGATGCAGAACTACATGTGGAGTAGTCAAAGAACCTGGTGAGGATCCCAAAATGGTTAAAATTAGCGATGTTGAACTTGGTGATGTCGTCCGCCATCGGGCTAATCATGCCAACAAACATGGAGTGGAAGTTAGGGACAAAGTGTAGATGCATCTGGAGAAGCTCGTCTTGGATGGTGCGGGTCCGTGTTCCTGAGCTCGACGGGGTACTCAGGAAGGGCATGTGGCAATTCCTCTGCCAACAAAAATCAAATATGAATCATAGAGGTGGAGTTTAGCAAATCCATCTACCATGAAATCTAGGCTTCTGAATTGGAAAGCCTGGATGCTGACAAAGGTGGGGGCAATGCAAAGTTACCCCAACAAGTCGGCGGTGAAGTCCATACTATGCCGAAGGTGATGGTGCTGCCTAGAGCTAAGTCGTCAATGCCATTATCGAAGAAACCCATCCGACTTATTTAAACGAATCTGCACCCAATGTTCTCCTACCTGGTGTGCCGATTGTCGATATTTTTTAACCTCCAACGATGATGAGTAATCAACGAATCATGTGCATTAGATTAGAGAGATAGTGTAGTTCGGGGATAGGGTTACAAATAGAATGATGCCCCAATTGAGTTACAAGTTGGTTACAATAGACAGTGGTTTCTATGTATACCCCTTATCTGTTTTAATTTTTCCTCCGATCGGTTGGATCCGCCCCACTCCCTTCCATGGCATTGGTTTTTATCCTCGGTAAGGATAGCCAGGGACCATATAGTTGACAAGGGTCCAATGTAAATTGTATAAAAAATTGATCAAAACTAAATTTTCCAATGAAAATTACACTGACTTTGGGTTCCCACTCCCTCCACCACTAGCTTCTTATGTAATGTTTTTCCCCCATCTGGCATTGCCGTGTAATTGAAAAAAAGGAAGTTTGTGTTACCCTTGCGTATCCATGTTATTTATTCTTGGATCTTGGTGCGCTCTCGGCCATTCTATTGATCCCGATACAAGGGACGATCTTGTTTAAGGTAGTGTCATAGTTCCATCTCCTCGTTTTAATCTGAAGCCTCCATAAAAGTCATATTCTATCGCCAAGCATAGGCAGTGGTAGAACTCAAATAAGCAATCACCTGTAGATCGGTATTGGGATCGAAAAGACTTCGTGCCATTCCGTTATACGTTAACAGGAAGTTTCTCATGTATCATTTGCATGTTGATACGTCCATTAATTTTATCCTTGGCTCAGCAAATTAGGTTGAGATCACCAGGAACAACTAATGCGGTTGCATTAGATTTTTAGATCAACTAATTCAGAGATAGAACTCAATTTGTCACGCCTACCATACTTTGTCACGCCTGGCCTCAGCATGACAGCGGACAGCATATGTGGTCACAGCACACGTGCCATGACATGAAAAAAGAGGGTCAATGGTAATGTTTGGAGAAGGATAAGGTAGTACCGTAGTAGTAGTAGTACATTTACATGGGTTAGAAAAAAAAATCACTAAACCAAAACAGCTGTTTTCTTTGAAGAAATAAGCATTCATCCTACTTTACTTTATCTTACTTCATTGCAACCCTCATCCTTTTTTTTTCTCCATCTCCATGTTCCGATTGCTGCTGATGATCTCAGTTAGTACCAACAGAGGTGGAAAAATTTGCAGTCGATACCTGCACACGGTTCTTCGCCTACGTTCTTCTGATTCAGTCAATTTCCTGCATCTGACCTGCTTTTGGACCACGACGGCTGCTGCTGCTTCCTCAAAAAGTGCCTAACAATTATCCAACGACCACAGGCCCCGTTCAATTTAGTAGAACCATGTTTGAACACTTATTGCCCGCACAGTCGCACACCGAACAAATAGGTCACCTACTCGCTTAAAAATTCAGCGCCCATACAACCGTAGGCGACACCTTCTAATCGTGAGCGCGACAACAATGCTACAGCTGCAGACTGTTTCAGCTCTTCCCGGCAACTCACCAGCTGAGACCGGCTCAAGATGGCGGCTCTGACCAGGTATTAGAGGCTAGCTTAGAGCAAGCAAGCCACAGGTCATCCATGATCACCTTATATGAAGCTCACATTTCTCAATGCCATTCCATTCTTGGTTCTTGCATAATCATCCCAGCCAGACACCATAGCTTGTTACTAGATCCATGTCGTCATCGACTTCACAAATGGCGTCGCTCGCCGTGCTCGTCTTCCTGGTGGTCTGCGCAACGCTTGCCTCCGGCGCCGCCAGCGTCCGCGTTGGGCTCACGCGCATCCACTCCGACCCCGACATTACCGCGCCCGAGTTCGTGCGCGACGCACTGCGACGCGACATGCACCGGCAGCAGTCCCGATTCAGCGGCCGCGAGCTCGCGGAGTCCGACGGCACCACGGTGTCCGCGCGCACCCGCAAGGACCTGCCCAACGGCGGGGAGTACCTGATGACGCTGGCCATCGGCACGCCGCCGCTGTCGTACCCGGCCATCGCCGACACGGGCAGCGACCTCATCTGGACGCAGTGCGCGCCCTGCGGAGCCCAGTGCTTCGCGCAGCCGGCGCCGCTGTACAACCCGGCGAGCTCCACCACGTTCGGCGTGCTCCCGTGCAACAGCTCCCTGAGCATGTGCGCGGGGGCGCTGGCGGGGGCGCCGCCGCCGCCCGGGTGCGCCTGCATGTACAACCAGACGTACGGCACCGGGTGGACGGCGGGCGTGCAGGGCTCCGAGACCTTCACCTTCGGCTCGGCGGCCGCCGACCAGGCCCGCGTCCCCGGCATCGCCTTCGGCTGCAGCAACGCCAGCAGCAGCGACTGGAACGGCTCGGCGGGGCTCGTCGGCCTGGGCAGGGGCAGCCTGTCGCTCGTGTCGCAGCTCGGCGCCGGCAGGTTCTCCTACTGCCTCACGCCGTTCCAGGACACTAACAGCACCAGCACGCTCCTCCTCGGCCCGTCGGCGGCGCTCAACGGCACCGGCGTCCGCTCCACGCCGTTCGTCACTAGCCCGGCCAAGGCGCCCATGAGCACCTACTACTACCTCAACCTGACCGGCATATCCCTCGGCGCGAAGGCGCTGTCCATCTCGCCAAACGCCTTCTCCCTGAAAGCCGACGGCACAGGCGGCCTCATCATCGACTCCGGCACGACCATCACCTCGCTGGTAAACGCCGCGTACCAGCAGGTCCGCGCCGCGGTGCAGTCCCTGGTGACGCTGCCCACGACCGACGGGTCGGATTCCACGGGGCTCGACCTGTGCTACGCGCTGCCGACTCCGACGTCGGCGCCACCGGCCATGCCGAGCATGACGCTCCACTTTGACGGCGCGGACATGGTGCTCCCCGCGGACAGCTACATGATCTCGGGATCCGGCGTGTGGTGCCTGGCCATGCGGAACCAGACGGACGGCGCCATGAGCACGTTCGGAAACTACCAGCAGCAGAACATGCACATCCTCTACGACGTCCGGAAGGAGATGCTGTCGTTTGCTCCGGCCAAGTGCAGCACTCTTTGACGATACCAATACCATAGTTGTATATATATACAGTTACTAATATACATGTGTGCATAGGATTCACGATTTTTTATACAGTGAACTGTTAACCAAACACTCTAATTCCATTTTTGGAAACTGGAATTTGTTCAGAATTCTTAACTGAATAATCCAAATGTGGCTTGAAAAATACATGAACGAGACAATCGATATATGGGTTTTGAGTTTTGACAAGCAAACATGGAATCGATGACTGAAGTAGCATACATTGATCTGACTTAGCATACCCTTGAATTATTGAAAACTGAGATTTGTTCAGAATTGTTAACTTAGCATTCCAAATGTGGCTTAACAATTACATGAATGAGACACTCGATATATGGGGTTCAACAAGCAAACATGAAATCGATGACTGAAGAATACGTAGGTCTGACATGGACAGACGACCAAAAGATATAGTTCTTAACAGGTCCCGGGCTAAGCGACGATATGCCACTCAATTCAACCTCCCACTCTGACCCCGTCTTCTCTTCCTTTTGAAAGACACCCTCTGGGCTGGTTTGACATTTTGATTTCTCATGAGCTCCTGACGGTCTCTCTCCTCCTGCAATAACGCGAAAATCAGCTCCGAGTATTTGCCATAGTTTGCCATCCTATGCATCTGATGGCGGATACGCTCACTTGGCGGGGAGGTAGACAAAGTCTTCTCGATCATTTCTTCATCTGTGATTTCTTTGTCACAGAGCTTCAGTTGAGAAACTATGCGTCGCAGAGCCGAATCATATGCAGTCACAGAGTCAAAATTGCTGAAATGCAGGCAGTCCCAGTCCAACTTCGCTCGTGGTAGCTCTACTGCCTTCATCCTATCAAAGCGATCCTTCAAAGATTGCCATATAACAAGTGGATCCCGTTCGAGCATATACTCGTTTTTGAAATCTTCGTTCAGATGGAGGTGGATGTAAAACAGAGCCTGTGCCTTCTCCTGTTTACTGCAGTTGGAGCCTGAGACAATTGTGTCGCTGAGATCATTCTGGGCTAAATAATTCTCAACATTTCTGGCCCATGTGACATAGTCTCTTCGAGCATCAAATGGTATGAGCCTGGGAAAGTCTGGTTGCAGCACGCTAGACATATTCCTACGATACATAAGAGAGATATTTAGGCTGTGTTGTTATATGAGGTGGTGCATCAATGACTTCATCCAATGAATTTTGGTGGAATAACTCATTCCTAATGCATAAACTAATTATTAGATTTTGAGAAATTAAGTGATGATGAATCAATCCATTCCATTCCACGCAGTGGCGGATATAGAAAAAAAAATTGTTGGAGGTGCTAAACATATATAACAGGGCACCAAACCAATCTAAATTCATTACTTTGAAACACAGCTGATCAAAGTCATGGAGCCATATTTTTTGAAATAGTCTCCAGTCCACATTTTGCTATTTACACAAAGCAGTACATATATGAGCGATTGATTAATTATTAAGTGCATTGTACGACAACTTCCGTAACAAGTCACTGAACTCACAAAGATGTATGATGCATAAGATTCGGTCAGCCTTTTTCCCAACTTCCAAAAGAAAAGCCAGAAAAAAGAACCCCAAAACCTAGTGATTAGGCACAAATTGATGGTTGTTAATTTTGCGTTCTACAGCTAGATAATCAGAGATTTGCTAGAATTCTTCACTAAAGTTGTCTAACTTGAATTCTCGCAGACACAGTTAATCAAAAGACACAGTTAATCAGTATGGATCTATCTTAAAAAAAACAGTATGGATCTAAACTGAAACAGATTAGCATCAACCAGATAGACAAAGACTAAGCAAGACAACGTAGCACGCGAATCTACAGAGAAAATCAGAAACAGCGCATACGTACGTGGTTCCAAGATTAAAAGAGAGATGATGGAAGAGATGCATGGACTCACACGCTTTCGTCGATGGATGCAGCAGCGGAGCGTCTCCGCCCGGACGCCCGGAGGAAGGCGGCCGTTGGCTACTTGGCTCCCGTCCCACGGCCGGAGACGACGATACACTGATTTCTCTCTGCAGGGAAAGGGAATATACGGTTGCCTACTTGCCTTGCAGTTGCAGAATGCAGAGCGACGCTCCAACGACCGTGATGGGCCAAAACAGGTGGGCTGTGGAATGTGAATCATTGTTAATTGGGCTCACGAAGGTTTGGTTTCTTAAGATGGGCCAATCAGTTGGGCAAGGACGCACGACAGATCCACGCTATTCAGGTCGCACCTACCAGGGGCACGCAAGCACCGGCGAGGAGGCGACTCACTGTCCGGGAGCTCTCGTCGTCGTCGTCGCCGTCGCCGCCGCCGCCGCGCCTGGAGCGCGTGACTCAAGTTCAGCAAGTGGCGAATCTGATGGGCGAAATGGAGATGAACAAGATTTATAAACTTCTGGCAACGTTGCGCAGATGTGCAACGCACTTGGCAGACACCACCATTCAATCATTCAAATACTTTAAAGATCACTGACATCCAGATCAAGTTCATCAAGAATAACTAAAAACGACGTCCTGGAACAAGGAACAAGGTAGTATGACCGAACCCTCCGTACCGTCTGCAATGGCCGCCAAGCGATCGCCGCTTCTCCTCTGCCTGCTCCTCTTGCTGCCGTCTTTTGCCGTCCCCATCCACGGCCAGCCAAGCCGTGGCGTCCGCCTTGAGCTGACCCACGTCGACGCCCGCGGCGACCTCACGGGGCCCGACCGCATCCGCCGCGCCGCTGACCGGAGCCACCGCCGCGTGAACGGCCTCCTCGCCGCGGTCTCGCCGCCGGCTACGTCCACGTCCACGCTGCGGAGCGACGGTGGTGGTGGTGGCGCCGGCGCCGCCACGGCAGCGGCATCCGTGCACGCGAGCACGGCGACCTACCTCGTCGACCCCGCCATCGGCACGCCGCCGTCGCGCTCTCGGCCGTCCTCGACACGGGCAGCGACCTCATCTGGACGCAGTGCGACGCGCCGTGCCGCCGGTGCTTCCCGCAGCCCGCGCCGCTGTACGCGCCGGCCAGGTCCGCGACCTACGCCAACGTGTCGTGCGGCTCCAGGCTCTGCGAGGCGCTCCCGAGCCTCAGGCCCTCCTCCCGCTGCTCGGCGTCGGCGTCGGCGCAGGTGCGGGGCTGCGCGTACTACACCTCCTACGGCGACGGCAGCTCCACCGATGGCGTCCTCGCCACTGAGGCGTTCACGTTCGGCGCGGGCACCACCGTCCACGGCCTCGCCTTCGGGTGCGGCACGTACAACCTCGGCGGCACGGACAATTCCTCCGGTCTGGTCGGCATGGGCCGGGGCCCGCTGTCGCTGGTGTCCCAGCTCGGCGTCACCAGGTTCTCGTACTGCTTCACGCCATTCAACGACACGGCAACGTCGAGCCCTCTGTTCCTCGGCTCGTCGGCGAGCCTCTCGCCGGCGGCCAAGTCCACGCCGTTCGTGCCGAACCCGACCGGCCCGCCGCGGAGCTCCTACTACTACCTCTCCCTGGAAGGGATCACCGTCGGGGACACCCTGCTGCGGATCGACCCCGCCGTGTTCCAGCTCACCGCGTCGGGCCGCGGCGGGCTCATCATCGACTCCGGCACGACGATCACGGCGCTAGAGGAGCGCGCGTTCGTGGTGCTGGCGCGCGCCGTCGCCGCCCGTGTGGCGCTGCCGCTGGCCAGCGGCGCGCACCTGGGCCTCAGCGTCTGCTTCGCGGCGCCCGAGGGGCGGGGGCCCGAGGCCGTGGCCGTGCCGCGGCTGGTTCTCCACTTCGACGGCGCCGACATGGAGCTGCGGCGGAGCAGCGCCGTGGTGGAGGACAGCGTCGCCGGGGTCGCGTGCCTGGGGATGGTGAGCGCGCGGGGGATGTCGGTGCTCGGAAGCATGCAGCAGCAGAACATGCACGTCCTGTACGACGTCGAGAGGGACGTCTTGTCCTTTGAGCCCGCCAACTGCGGCGAGCTCTAGGATTTGGGAACGGTGCGTTGAAATTGAGTGAGCCCATCTGTATGCTGATATTTGGAGCATATTGCAGCTGAATGACGTTGTGTAACATTTGAGGGATTGTTTTGAGGTAAATTGCCTATCTCTCGCATATGCTGCTGCCTTTTCAGCCGCTAAATCGTTAGCGCGTGGGTATATGATACCAAAGCTGAGAAGTCATCGATCCAAAGAATTTTAATTCAGCAATGTTTGCTTTGATTTTCTTAGGTTGGCCAACTGGATCAGCTCAACGCAAGATATTGTTAACTTGTGCACCCAACAATTAACGTCCAATGCTACCGGATGAACGCTAAGGCAATTTGTCAATACGCTTCTACAACACTTCACCCAAGCTACCATCCGTACATTCGGCCACCAACATAGGTGGGTAGGGTTTTGCCAGAACACTAATGCAATTTGCCAATTTCCTCCTTCACCATAACCTGTGGTTCTTATCGATGCCTCGTCCATTACCTGCTGCTCCCTCCATTCTTATAAATTAGATAAGATGTTTTGGCTTTCCTAGATTCATAGCTTTTTCTATGCATTTTAGATATATATCACGTGTAGATGCAAAAACAATGTATTTAAAAAAGTTAAAACGTCCTATAATTTATAATGGAGGGACTGTCGTCATCGTGAGTGCTCCTTATCGATCATGCTCAGCAGCTATATCCTCTACCACCCCAACCCTCATCGCTTTGTGCATGAATCGGGCTTATTGTTGGTGCTTCTCACTAAGGCCTCGTTTGGTCAGGCTTCCATATGGCTCCTACTCTCATGCCCAAAAAGTGAACTACGCAGAGGAGCCGGTAGGGTTGGTGTTGGGGGGCTTCTCTCGACTCTGACCCACACCAAACTAGCCCTATGCTTATGTAGTCTTGTCAACTTGAACCCTAACCTTTAACCTGGCCTGTCAGAGATAGAAACCCCTTATATATGCTAATTGTGATAATTAAAGATCGAAGAATCACAAATCCAGTGTTATGGCTATCTCAAGCGGTCAAACCTATACGACAATTTAGGTTTTCCATTCTTCCCACTCATGTGCTCCTTACCTCTCTCTCGGTTTTCTTGTGTTGCTCACACAAAGTGTGTGTTACTCCGCCACTACTCTTAGTTGATCATACACGATAAGTTTTGCTTTTTAAAGGCATGGGCCGGGGCTGTTACGTGATTCATCATCTTTTTGTTTTGGGGCAGACTAGCTAGGAGAGATACAAAATTTGTGGGTTCTGGGCTATCGTTAAGCTCCTTACCAACATCTAAAAAGTTATGTATCTAAAAAATCAAAACAACTTATATTTTGGAATGGAGGGGGTACTATATAACTAGTTAATGACAAAATTTTGATCACTTGGAAAATAGAGGCTGCCCCTTTTGTATATAGACGGCTTCCTAGCTAGTTCGATGACGCCATCCCGTGATGGCTAGCTCGAGCTTGTCCCGTCAGCTCTGTCGTCAACGGCATCTGTAACATTCCTTAGTTTTTCTCTTATTTTACTTTCTGAACTTGAGAGATACAAATATGGATTGAATTATCCTAGATACACGCGTGGGTACGGTGATTGACAGACTACTGCGATGATATCGGGACATGTGAATAAATAACCATCCGTACTAGTTGACCTTGCTTACGTGATCATCTCGGCGAGCATTTCTCCATCGGACGGCACCGTACTTGGTCAAGGAAGAGCTCCGATTCTACGAGGAAGGGAACACGGTCTTCCACGACCGTTGCCGCTCTCCCTCGTAGAATCAAAGCTCCTCCTTGACGTCCGTTACCGCTCGGCAGAGAACATGCTCGCCGAGATGAACACGGTCCGCAAGTTCAACTAGTACGGATTTTCTATAATTTTCTAACTATTTTCTAAGTTTATATTTATATATATACTACGTTTTGGGTATGGTGATTGATGTATCTGCGGCGATATCGGGACATATGAATAAATAACCATCCGTACTAGTTGAACTTGCTTACGTGATCATCTCGACGAGCATTTCTCCACCGGACAGCACCGTACTTGGCCACGGAAGAGCTCCGATTCTACGAGGAAGGGAACACGGTCTTCCACGACCGTTGCCGCTCTCCCTCGTAGAATCAAAGGTCCTCCTTGATGTCCATTACCGCTCGGCAGAGAACATGCTCGCTGAGATGAACACGGTCCGCAAGTTCAACTAGCTACTTTAACCTTCTTTCATGTAAATATGCAAGCTTGAAATGATTTTGAGCTCAAATTGCTTACAGATGAAAAAAACCACAATAAAGAACCATATATATATAGTGAATAAAATGAGATAAGACAATGGTGAAAAATGAGAGTATGAGATTGGTAACCTTTACAACTGAAGAATCGACGGAGGAATCGAAGAAATCGACGGAGGAATCAAGAATGGATGGAGGAACAATGGAGGGAGGGAGGAAGCAAGAACACTAGTGCAAAGTTGAGCTTCAAAATGTCTTTGAGCTCGGGCTCGGGAGGAAGAAGGAGACGGTCGGGATATAAAGGGGGGACCTTTAGTCCCGGTTGGTGGCTCCAACCGGGACTAAAGGTAACTTTCCAACGCCGGACGCAGCCACGGCCCGGGAGTAGACCTTTACTCCCGGTTGGAGCCACCAACCGGGAGTAAAAGTATACCTTTAGTCCCGGTTGGTGGCTCCAACCGGGACTAAAGGTCCCTGCCACCTTTGCCTGGCGCAGTAGCCGTTGGGCAGGGACCTTTAGTCCCGATTGGAGCCACCAACCGGGACTAAAGGTATCTCTAGTCCCAGGCACAAAAAATGCCGGGACTAGAGCCCATTTTGGCCGAGGATCAAAGGTATGTTCTCTACTAGTGACGTATTGTGAAAAGGAGTGATCCAAATATTACTCTGGATCGGAGATACTGAATTTCAGCTAGGTCGTATTCACGTAAGGTTCGAAGGCATGGTGCTGATAAGGTCAATGGGCCTTTTTGCTTTGTTTGATCAAACGAAACCTGTCGAAACAAAACGAAGGAAGACATCTCAGTGTCTCACGACATGGCGTGCAAAGCTGTAGCAGCGCTGCTGACATTTGCTGCTATTCTCATCGGCTTCCTCTCGCCGGTGACTCCCGCGAAGACCGCTCACGGCTTCCGCGCCACCCTTGCTCGCGTCCACCCAGCATCCCGGCAACTACTCCGCCGTGGCACGTCGCGACGCCCGCCGCCTCCTGCTCCTTTCGTATCGGGCCACGGGAGGCGAGGCGACGACCACGAGCACGAGCACCATCTCTGCCCCTTCCCGCCATGGTCTCCTCGAGGCGCTGGTGGAGAACGGTGCCGGGTCGTACCACATGACCCTGTCCGTCGGCATGCCGCTCGTGGCCTTCCCAGCCATCATCAACACCGGGAGTGACCTCACTTGAAGCACATCAATGGTGTGGTTAAATCTAGTGGCGAGAGTAGAGTTGAACATCGACGTGTTCTTGTCAGAGCGATCCCTAGTGAGGTTGAAATCACCAATAAGAATCCATGGATCCGAGATGGATCCGGCGACAGTATCAGGCTCCGCAAGGAAAAGATCAGTGAAGCTATGGCCCGAAGGACCATAGACATTGGTCACCGCGAACTGGAGGTCGGAGGTGGTGGAACGGAGGAGCACAGTAGACGTGAAGTCAAAGGAGAAGTGGCTAGTCATGGTGAAGAGGGCCGAGCACCAAGCGGTTAAGAGGCCACCTGTCACGGGGTCGAAACCGTGGCAAGCATGTTGTTCGAGTCGGTGTCAGAGTACGGGGTCTCCGATGGCTCGGGTGGACTCAGGAACACAGAATCACGTAGAGAAGACGTAACGGTTTATCCTGGTTCGGGCCAATTCAGTCCCTACGTCCAGCAGCTGATGATCCTTATACTCAAGAGCACCCAAAATCTGGGGGTTACAACAAAGTGTAAAGGAAGAAAGTTTGGCAGGAGGGTTAGCTCAGTGCTAATCCTAATATTGCCTCACCGCCGGTGGAGTCTCCCCCTCATTGGAGAGGAAGGAGATGGTGGGATGCAGTGGAGGAGAGGATCTCGGTGCCCCTCTCTGGGTTGCCTTGCTCTCGGTGCAGAGCGAAGGCAGATGGAATGGAATGTAGTGTCTAGTGATCGAATCGGGATCCTCCACCTTATCCCTTATATAATGAGATAGGTCAGGTACAAGGCGGTTTGGGGGTTCTAGTCTATGGTCTACGTGCGCCAGAGTCTAGGAGGGGCTTGTAGTGGTGCGCTATGGACCGTCGAGGTGTGTTGGAGCCAAAGAAGCCTAGGCGGCGTCCGGCTGCTCTGTTCTGACACTCTGCGTGTCAGACGGTATCGACTTGGACCGGCCTCCCCTGGGTGAGACCTTCTGGAGTCTTCTTGGTGGCGAAGGAGGCCGTGGTAAGCTTTGTCTTCTTGTGTCACACCCCGGACGTGACCCTATCGGAGGAGCAGTTGGCGGGGGCACGCCTATGGAGCGGTGCCAGGGAGCCCCCGGGCATCGTTAGCCTAGGGCTTGTCTTCTTATGCCCGGGCCTTGGCTGGCATTGTGAGCTAGGCAGGAGCTAAGGGCCAGGCCCGGAGGTGCCGTAGATTGAGAGCCCAAGGCTCAAGGAAGCCCCCGAGCCCCAGACGGAAGCTGCGGTCGAGTTAGGCTCGGTCGGGTCTCTTTGTCAGAGGGTACACACGAGCGTGCCCGATGGGCATAGCCCCTGAGCCCCTGGGCAATCCTGAAGGGGTCGGTCGAGGGGTCTTTTTCATTCGGGAACCATTGAACCCGAGGCGTAACATACATGTATGTTAGGATCTCATCAGGAGCCCCCGAGCCCTTTGTGGCCTCACCTGGCGTGATGGTGACGAAGGGATGAATTCGATCTTCTGGTGACCGAACCCTCCTTGGTGGGGACGGCTTCTGCTGGCGAGAGTGTTGTGCCCTGCTTGGGGCCTTCTTCTCTAGTGTGATGGATGGTGCTTGGCTGTCGAGGCTGAGCAAAGTCGATGTTGAT